TAACGTGTCAAGAACGGTATAGACACATACAGGTAAATCAGGTGCACCATACCTGCAAGTTCCCTATATATAAAAAAAAAAAAGAATAGGGTTCTGGTAGAAGGGAATCTGAAACATGCTACTATTAGATCTGTGATAAAGAGGAAAGACGTGATTCCTCCATGGAGCCCATGAAATTACTATCACCAATGATCCGTGAAGTCACAACACAAAGCATGTTTTTTCCTCTTACAACAGCTGTTATAAGTTATAACCTGTTATAAGTTGGGTTATAAGACCCAAAACTGGAACACTTGCTGGTTTTGAAGGCCTATGATAAACTAATCCCAACTGTTAGGTCTGTAACAAAACACAGCTATTTCACTTCAAGCATGCAAAGAAATGGATCACACAAATTCCAGAGCTAAAGAAATATCGCACCTGTTTCACTTCATTTCTTAAAGAAAGAACAAAACCTACAGCTTTTATTATCATACATATTCATGGTTATTTCAGACATTCAGCCTCACTGGGCGAACAGCTTTTCATCTAGAGTGAGGCTCTGTATTTTCTCTATACTAAAACCACCACCTGATTTTAATAGTGGAAGCAAGTGGTACAAAAACCAAAACTTCTAACACTGCATGCAGGCTGCAAACCTGACTCTACCAAAATACCAGGATCTCCACTGACTTATGTGAAGTTGGGACTTTTTTTTTTCCCCCTAGACTACACATCTTACAGTAAAGCAGCATCAACTTTTTTTAGTACAGTGGAACGTTCTCTGTATTTCTCTGTTTGGATATTATCCAATATTTATCACAGCGTGTTATCTGAAGTTATATATAGTCTTTCTACATTTCTGAGATAAGCAGGATGTCTTTCCATAACATAGGATTAATGCATTACCTACACACACGCCTGAGAAATACAGACATAACCATAGATACATATTCATCAGTGTTCATCAAGCACACTTGTGCTTGAACATACACACACACACAAAAGCAACGTAAGCCTTGTGTTTTTTAAATTGCTAATTATCAACCAGCAGAGTAGACTTTGGGATTCATAGACTTGAATTCATAGACTTTGTCCTGAATGTGCAGACTGCATGGCATGATGGTGATCTGCTTAGTCATGAGGGAATGGGGTGACTGATACAAGTCCACAAAGCATCACCTGGTAGCTGATTCCACACAACCTGGTTTTTGAGGTAGTTACAAATCTTCCTCCTTCCTAAGCAGGACATATTATTTCCTATCTACAGTGAAAGTCAGCAAAACAGCAACAGACAATAAGGTGCTGCTTAGAACTTTTTTTTTTTTTTCCCCTGTAAGTTTGCTATAAAAAAATAAATCTTTTTTTTTTTTTTTTTTTTTTTTCCCCCCTATTTGCAGTCATGCAGGTCAGAAACTATTACTTTTGTATGAATCTATTAACATTGCAAGCATAAATCAAATCATTGGAAATGTGAATTAAAAGTTTTGCATCGATCTCACCACTACATCCTGTCTCCATCACAAATCTGTAATTATTTGTGTTCTCACGACACAGATCACATGGTGTTAGAGACAGGGAAAACCTTTTCATGTGAGTGAGAAGGAAGACGGCTCAAACCTTGACTGGGCTGTTAGGCATTACTTCAGTATAGGTAATTAAACATACCTGTATTGTTCATGTATCATGAACTGTAATCAGAGGATGATGCAATTCTTTAGTTCAGTTGAGTTCAATCACTCAATTCTTGAGTTGTTTAGGAGGGGACAAACAGATCAAATAAATGCTGAAAGGTGAGGTTGGAGAGGGAGGAATATTGGAGTGTGATCAAACTGTGTGAAGTTCCGTGAGACACAAAGTCTGCACATGGGCCTTGCTTCCCCCATTTTCCATAAGCTAGCAGGGAAAACAAACAAACAAAAAAATCTGCAAAAATTAGGTTTATATTTGCTTTGTTATGTATTAGAAAAAACAACCACTACAAAACAGCAGCTGGGGTGGCAGGGAGAAAACCAGCGAAGCACAAGAAATATTAGAGGTTTATCATCTAACACAGGATTCAATTCACACTTCGTGTTCATGGGAATCTAAATATCTGAAGACAAATCTTTCATTTTTGGCCAGCTTTGGGAATGTCTTTGTAGTCAAACAAGAAAACAGCCCACCAAAAAAAGAAGTGCACATGAGGATTTTTTCAAAGTGCTCTATAGCAGGCAAATCCCTAAGATCTGACCTGCTGCTGGGAAACCCCACATTCTGTCTGTGACATGGGTACAGAGGAGTTGAGTATAACAGCACTCTCTTTTCTTGTATTATTTCTAACTTTTTCTTTTTAGAGTTCACAAAAAGTTACTTGACACACAGAGAACATTTGTTATAAAGGACCTGAAAAACAGATCCCTAAAATAAAAAAGGAATAATGGTTATGGAAATACAGTCAAGAGTAATTAGGAACCATGTAACATCATGCTAAGTTGGGATAGAGGCTGTTATCAAACAAGTCTACCAGTGACTAATAAGATGAAACTAGTAGCAACTACCAATGGAGAGTATTGTATCCCTGATTTCAAGAGAACCCAGCATGGAGAATTCATAATTGTATCTTAATTTCTTTTGAGTAACTGTCCTGAAAACTGTTTTACTGTATGTTAGAAGACAGCAGTGGAAAAACTCTTGCAATAAAAACTAGTAAAAGAAACTCAAGTTCTGAATATCAAATGCAAATATCTAGTGATGCACAGTTAAGCTATAAAACCTGGCCAGTAAATATAAAACTGTTAAGGATAGCACTAAATACGTGAAAAAGAAAAGGAGGCCTTAACAATGGAAGATGGAAAACAAGAACCCAAAGTATACTTTTAATTATGTATTCCAGTCTTATATAATACAGATTTTTCTTTCTACTTTTAAACTTCACCCTATTACTACAACATAATTTCCTGCAAAATTGATTTTTATTAGTCGTTAGAAGTAGAAAACTATATGCTGATAATAATTGAAGGCTGACCTACATTTTACTGATTTCTAAATGGATACAGGTATCTCCAAAAAAAAAAAAATCACAAAAGAATCAGAAACAACATTGATGGTGAGTTTTTAATCAACATCATACAGAAAGCTGAAAGGCATCGCTCCAATGTTCAACTGAATTCTAATAGCTTGCCACCTACTTTTTGTGATATTTCCTTATATGAACTAACACGTTTATATTGCAAAAGAAAGATCATTATTTGTGTAATGAACACACAGTAATTGAAGTTCCATTGAGCAGTATAGTTTAATAATTTGTGATATCCAGGAATCTGACACAGAGGCATTGCTGAAAACTGCAGTTTACAAACAAATGGTCACTGAACTACTAACAGTTAACGGTATGTCCTACAAAACTGATGTCTAAGAATATTCAAACTCAAAAGCTATGTAAAAACACTTTTAAATTATATGTATGTATATCATTGGTTATCAGTCAAAGCCTATGCCAAATGTTTTTCCAGATCTCTTCCCCCTGACAAGTTCATGCTTATATTGCATCACATGCCTTAACACACTGTGAGATTTCTTGCAATCTTTTAATTAAATCTCTAAGCATTTTTGCAGCTATTTTTTGTAGCAGCCACAGAGAATAATGATGCCAAACACATCATGCAATAAACCCTGTTATTAATGCAAGCAAAATGTATGAGACTTCTTCCCCAAGGACAGCACTGAGTGCCACGACATACACAGCTGATGCACACTAGGATTTTTTTTAGTTAACTAGTAACAAATTATAGTCATGTATTAAAAGCTAAATTACTGATTAATTGCTACCAGAAATACACATCTTTATACAATTTTGTTTTGGATACTCGTGTTTAAATGGAACAATACAATCACGTCTCATGGTGAGCTTGTTCAGAGATGGAGCAGCAGGTTGCAAATGGAAGACTAGCCCACAGCCTCAGTTATTTCCAGATAACTGTAATCCACCCTTCTGATTTAAAGGCATCTACAGCCCACAGCATGGGGAGAAACCGATAATTTCCTGAGCTCTTCATCAGAGTAAATACTAGCCTTACGTCACTGATTATTAATAAATACATCACTGTTAAGTCAGCATTGTATGCTCGTGTGTACACAGTGCCGTGAAGTTACAACACCACAGGAACTTGCACTCTCCAGTTGTAGAATACCCTGGAGAGAAATGACACCAGGAAGATTACAAAACGCCCCTGCAGACCTGAGGCATACCATCAAGACACAGCATATTTCAACACGGCATCTCACTTGTTGCAGGCTCGTAAGGGCTCCCTGACTCGCTGCGGTTGAGAAATCGAACAAAAAAAGAAGGGAAAAAAAAAAGAAGAAGGAAAAAAAAAAAAAAAAACAACGCAAAAGCCAAACCTCTTTTCATTCATTAAGCGCATCGGCCAGGTGAGCACCACCAGCGAGCTCCCTGTTCCTCTCCCTTCTCCTAGCGCAGTACCACAGGACGGCCGCCCGTCTGCCCATCACTCCCGCGGGATGCGCGCGCCCGCAGCACCTCCGCGCGGAGACCCGACGGGGGGGTAGAGGTGGGGGGGGGGGGGGGGTCAGGCAGCGCACCTGGAGCCGTCCCGCGGGCTCCTCCCGCCCCCTCGCCTCTCCTTCTCGCCCGCTACGGGCAACCCCATCCCCTCCGCCCTCCCACGCAGCCCCACGGCGCCGGGTTCTGGCGGCACTTCTCCCCCTGCCCCGGGCCGCGCTCCGCTCCCCCTCAGCCCGCCGCTTCTCCCCTCCGTCCAGCCTCCCGTTCCCTCAGAGCCACCTTCCTTCCCCGCCCCTCTAAGCATCCCCGGCGGCGTGGCCTCTTCCCCAGGCCCGGTGCCGAGCCCCCTGCCCACGCCGGGCGCAGCTTCCTCACACCGACAGCCGCTCCGCGGTCGCGGTCGCCGTCGCCGTCGCCGCCCCTCTTCCCCCGCGAGCCCCCGCGCTCCCGGTCCCCCTCACGCCTCCGCCGGCCCCCTTGCTGCGGGGAAAGGTCCCCCTTAGCCTGCACTAACCTGGTGCTGTCAAGTCTCAGCCGGAGAAACCGTTCCCTTCTGGTGGGATAAACTCCCCGGGCCGGCCCATCCTACCGGCCAGGCACCGCCTCCCTGCCGGGGCACCGCCTCCCGCCGCCGAGGGGCGAGCAGCGCCCGGGGCTGTGGGCGCTGCGCGGGTCGGGGCTCGCGCCGCGGCCGCCGTTGGCGGGAGAGGGGCGGGGGCGGCGAGGCGGGAGCCGGGGCTGAAGCGCGGGGCTGGAAGCCGCCCGGGACGTTCGGAGAGCGAACGGGTCAGTGAGGAGGAGGCGCTCCTTCTCCTTCCTTTCCCCTTTAGACCCGGTCCGTTCACCCGAGCCGGTTCTCTCCGGGTCCGTGCCCGTTAAGCGTAGTCACACACGGGCACCTCGTGTGAGGACAGAGCGCGGGCCCCGGAGTGGGTCTGGAATTTGATCTCTGCTCTCTGCAATCTCCTGTAACTGAGAATTCAGTTCTTTCCGGCTGCTAACTGCTTTCTCTTTTGCATTCCCCTTCTCCAGCTCACTCCTCTCTGCGCTGCGTGTAGTCGCTCACCTCACGTCAGTTTGTGTCCCGCTGTGACAGGAGTAAATGCTTTTCTGAAAAGATTCTTAGCGGTGACGGAGGTAAATGAAATTCTTTTTCACCCCTAATTTTTTCTTCTTCTTTTATTTTTTTCATCCCCCTTCCCTCCCAGGAATGCAAAAAGAAGTGGTATAGGCTATGCTGGGTAAGTCTCAAGACAGAGCAAGTTCAAACAAGCATGTCACCTCCTATTTCATCCCGAGATTCTTTTATTAAAAAGTTAGATGCTGTAAGTCAGTCATAGGATCAACAGCCTTTAGAGAATCACCATGTAAGTCCAGGTGCCCCAGCACGCAGCTGTTTACCTTTAAGAACTCCTGATCACTTGGACATCATTAGAAGATTCAGAAGATCCTAAATTTGCCTCATAGTTCTTAGTCATCCAGCATTTTGAAAGAGTTTGCTTCTATTTGCTTTGTTATTTGTATACTGAAGGCAATTTATAGATTAGAGCTGAATACATCAAATTACCTGGTCTTCTCCCAGATACGAACTGCCTGCGGCGTTTTGTTTATGAGAACAATCTGCAGAGACTGGAAGCCTTGTGTTAGTCTTATGAGAATTATCTATTTGTATGGGCTTGAGGTATTACTTCTGCCTTGGCACATCAGAGAATTATTTTCAGTTTATGCTTTTCCTACTGTCTGAAAATTTTAGGTTTAGAAAAGTGGAAATATTTTGGTTTTTTCTGGATTTTTTTTTTTTTTTTTTTAATACTGCAGTAATACCTATTCAGTAGTGCACTGACTCAGAACTAGAAGCCAGAGGCTGAAAACAAGTAAATCAAAACCTCAGAATTAGTTCAAGATGTCACGGGTGAATAAACAGGCAAATGTGAGTAAAAAATATTACACCAATAAAAGAGTTACAAATACTTAATACTATTTCTAACCACTTTCCAACATCTTGTGTAGAATTTCAGTAGTATATTCAAAGAAGAAGGATTTTAGCTGGACACCTCTACAGCACTAAAGTTTAGCTCTGCTGACAGTAGGAAGAACACTGTTGTCTGCAAAATAGTGGAGAAAATACTTGTCTGATTTAAATGTCAGAATAACACGGGAGCTCTTCAGAAAATCTAGGCTTTTAATGTGCACTCTTTTTTAAAACTCCATGAAACTCCGAGCATTCCAGAAACTGGCAAGTAATAATGAACATCTGATTTTGAATATAAACTCATATTTGAGGCTAGACTTCTAATAAGTTCATAATTAAAGGAGGAAAAACATAGCATACTTTGTATTTTACCATTAATTTTAGTAAAACTGTATGCATAAATAATACTTCAAATTAAATTACTTGGATGAAATAAAGACATATCTAACTTAACCCAAAGAAAGCAACCAACCAGAGCTTCCAGAGAATTATTACAAATACTATATCATTTTATTTATGTACAAATTACTTAGGTTTTGCAAATATGTATTTTAGCAGATTGAGACAGGAAAGAAAAAATTACTTCATCTGATTTCCTGCTTAACATGGATTTTTATGTAGTAGTATATGGTGCTTTGTATGTTTTAGAATGACAGTTAATCTTAGTTTGAAGAATCAAAGGATGAAGAATCCATAAATTATCTTTGGCAGGCAAAAATACACCTCATTTATAATTTAAATTAATGGGCCTTCTTTATCAACAAAGACTTTTTTTTTTTTTTTTCATTTGTGGAAAGTAGGAAGCCTACTGGTTTTGGTTTTGGTAAAGAAAGTGGGTTACTAATATCTATCTCTTCTAAAATGAATTCTAGATATTATTTTTGCAGTAATGAAATGGCCATTAGAATGAAATTATCAGTTTCTCTAACAGGTTTTGTTTGGATCATTTTCCTGCACAGTTTTTGATTATAGGGACTTTGTGCCCTACTATCTGAATGAATTCCTAAGCTTGGCTGGGACATTTAAGCACTGTGAAGTAAGAATGAAGTATTAAGCTCAGGCCTTCCTGAGTCATGGGCAGTTCTTCCCTAAGTTCAAGGATAAGCAGAAAAGGGCCTCAGCATCAGTTCTTGTTTTAAAATTGGATGATAACTTGTCTTGACGAAAGATCAATTATGTTTTAAAAGAAATGCACCTGAAATGTAACGCATCTGAAAAAATAGTCTTCTTTCTGTATCGCGTATACAGTACTAATAATTTATTTTGTTTATTACCAAACTTTGAAGCAGATTGACTTGAATCATGGCAAAAATAACCCCACTGAAATGAGAAGGTACTGTGTAAAATCTCAGAATGGGTAAGAGTACTAGTGCAACCCAAATGGCCTCCCTTAAACAATTTTATTTTTTGTTCCCATATTAACAAAGGAATTTTTATGCAACTAATTCTAAGGTATATCAGCGAGGTCTTTGAAGCTTGATTTTTAGATTACAACACGGAATATATTAAAGAGACTGTCTATGATGCAGTGATTTTTACTATTGGCTTTAAAAGGGTAGAAATCTCTTAAGGATACTGAGGTGAGAAATGTTTTTACTCTCTGCAAATATAGTACTTTCAAATTTACTTATTTTGATGTTCCCATTATGTCTGTGCTTTAAATCTCCAGGTATATTAGAGAGGTTTGAAATTACAAATCACACAATGTGTCCCACCTCGGTACATTGGAAAGAATGAAAAACTATCTAGCCAACCTTAACATCTAGAGGGCAATCTCATACTCTAGCAGCATGACTATAAATCTAGCAGTCAGAAGAATAGTTCTGGCTGTGTAAATTGCATTGTTTTAAAGCAAAAGGATCCAAGTAAGCTGAGAAGCTATTCTATTTCTCCGTTTCCTACAGTTACTGTGTCTACTTTATCTAATTTATGTAATTTTTGAATTTATATATCTGCTGTTCTTTTATTGATAACAAGAATTTTGTATTAGCGTATCTTATTCTGTCTTTACTGGCAGTTTTTGGTCTTCTGGGAAGATATTTCTGTAAGAAGTATTTCATAATATTCTGCCACACGCCTATCTTCAGTTTTCACGTTCTTTCTACATACTGTTTTATTTGAAGGGAATCAGGAGTTTAAATTATTATCTGTGGAGTTGAGTGTGGAAACACAGCAAAACCTATGGTATGAAACACAGTTCTTTATGTGATGGCAGAAGACTGCTCCCTTGGTATGATTCCAACTCTCTTTGGAGATCGCACTACGGTATCGTTATGCTGCACTCAGAATGCAGTGCCTTGGATCCAGCAAAAGTGATAGGACTAGGCATAGTGCAGATTTTTCATAGATAACTGTAGAGCGGGTCAAAACAAGAACCCTTTTAACTAAAAATTATCCTCCTTTTCCTGAACTTTGAGGCTTAGATAAAAAAGATCAAAATCCAAATCGTACCTGCTTTAAGTTCTGTAAAGAGGAGATCACATCAGGCTGTGTACCTCTAATTAGAATGGTTATCATTATCTTTCGTCTTTCCCCAACTTTCAACTTCTCTGATTTCTTTTTCTCTGTAAGAGTATGGCATTTTTTAGGACTGTCTGATTCTTCTGTAAGAGATTATTATCTTCACGTAATCCCATTCTGATCAGATGGGTCTAAACTGTGTCTCTGAGATTTCAAGCAACAGAATATACAGTAATAAAGCATAAAAATCAAGCATACACTACTACCATCAGATCTGCTTGTAGATCAGAAATTGGTTTCTGAAGGAATCATCATACGAAATGTTTATGGTCTTTTTGAGTTTCACTTAAAAACATTTTATCCTAATTCATTCTGTGGTTAAGACAGATTTATGAATGTAAATGATCCAATGTTTGAAAATGAGATTTCTACAACTGTACATATTTAGACATCTTAAATTAGTAGCTGATGCAACCAAGATTTAGAGTTGTGCTAATATAGTATGGGAAGAGGGTGGCTAGTCTTGTGGTTAAAGCATGGGACTAGCTGCTGAGAGGTCTGTGTTCTATTCCTGGTTGTGTCACTGACTTCCTGTGGGTCACTGGCGAAGGCATTTAGCTGTGTCTCATTTTACTCATATATGAAGTGGAAATAATACTTTTATTACTAAAATGGTGTGTGACTGGAGTCATTAGTATTTATACAATTGCTTCGTGCTCATTGATGGACTTGGCATATAATTGTATCAGCAGGTCAAAAAACATATCAGTAATGTAATTAGTTTCATGCAATTTGCTGTTTCTTTCTCACACAACTATTAGTTGATTCCAGTAAAGAAGACCATAAACTCCTAAGTGCAAAGTGTAACTGAAAATATCTAGAAACTTTGCTTCCAGGTTCAAAATAAAGTGTTTCTTCACAAAGAGAATTTAATTTTCTTTTTAAGAGTGTGAGGAAAGGGTATTTATTCCCTAATAATTTTTTTTCTTTCAAAGTTAACTCTGTCCTCCCATTGTTTCTTTTGGAAGATTGCATGAGGATCACTCGATACTTCCATTTCCTATAACCTTTGTCCTGTTTTATGGAATTGGTTTCAAATACTATTTTTAAAATCTCTGCTTTTTACATATTTTACCCTAGTCTCTAGGGTGCTC